CACTGAGAAATAAGGAAAAAAAAAAAGAGAAACAAAAAATTAATATAAGACACAGAACAAGGAAGCTCACTATTTGATGCTTTCCGGACTAATAATGATCAATGCAGTTGCTATCCAAATGAATTTTCTGGTGGGATCGACAACATTGATGGCATCACAGACATCGGCAGCTTGGCTTTTTTTCTCATCTCGACAACCTTCTTATGAGAATTGGAGTGCAATGATGGAACAAATGTAGGACTAGCAGCAGGACGGTACTCTGGAAGGAGGCGGCCAGACCTGTAGCGAACCCCACATGCATTACAAAGGGTCTTTGGGCCCATTGGCCCTTCTCTCCATTGTGGAGTTTTTGTGACTTCACAGTGCATACATTTCCTAACAACAACTGGCTGTTGGGAGGGGGATTTCTTGATCTCACTGGAACCTGAAAGCAATGTCAGGTTCTTTTTCTTCTTCTGTCTCTTTTTGGCAGATTTCTCAGTAAGATGGCTTTCTGATTCTGATTCAGAACCAACCAGAGAATTAGATCCTCTAGAGGTAGAGGAGGTAGAGGAAATGAATGGCAATGAGAACTGCAGGTTGAAGGTAGATACTCGTCGGCGCTTGCTTCGACCACGCTTCGCCAGGAAACTGAGATTAGGATCAATAGGTGTGAGATTTGCAGCTGAGCAAGAGCTACTGCTTTCAAGTACAGATACTGGACTGGAGGTCTGGAACTGGTTTGAGCCTTTGAGATCAGCCGACTCGCTGTTTAGGGTAATGCTTCTGCTGGAGGATGCTTTGGTAGTACTTGATCGCTGGTTTAGCTGAGATGATCCATCACACTAGATACAAAAGGGAAGAAGAATTCAGCAAAAAGTCAGATACGAGGTTAAGGTAGATTTTAGCCCTATCTTGTCCTATAAAATAAACTAAATATATAAAGAAAGAAAAAAGAGCCTCCCAAAGGATTAGTTATTCATCTTTATGGTAGCTGTACGGGGATTCAATTGAAAAAGGTAATAGAAAAGACCACCATCCATTTCATAAAAATTATCAGCTACAATGATTGCATAAATGTTTTATAAAATTTGTCATAGAAAGAGCCACCCTCCCCTTGGACATCAATCAGAGAGTCACAATCAACAGCATTATCAGGCGGTCCCATCCATTTATTGGCAAGGCAAACCAAGCACCGATTGGGCCTGCTTGCTTGCATGGACCAAACAGCTGTTCCACAGTGCAACATCATGTGGTGTAAGAGTGCATGTAGTATGCCATGTTCTTATTGTATCTACAGCACAAACTACAGTGCATCTCTTATTTTTTGAAAAGTACAACATCTGCCTATTGTCTCAATCTCTTGAACCGTTTTCATATTAAGCCGCTTCACCACACTAAATAACCTGTTTTCACCAATGCTCTGTCGAGAGCACCCTTCACAGATGAATTTGATCAATAAAGAACAGAATGTCAAAGTACCTTCAGGGGTTTAGAGACACTGCATATCTTAGAAACAAAGTTACTTCCCTGAAATTGCTTTCAAATGAAGTATGAATGAAAGATCACCAAATTGCCCAATAATGGTTGCTTTCTGAAAAGTAAACCATGAATGTCCACATGCAATCATTCATTCAACATAGCACTTGGCATGCCAAGATGCACAAGGTAGATTGTACAAGCTAGCTCAAGTTTAACGGACACCACCAGAACACTAATCCAATAGACAAGCAAAGTTTTCAGCAGGATAAAAGCATGGTTAGGCAAAGCACAGTTTTAGTCCCATGCCATGAATGATATTGTAATGTCTACTTGTAAATAAGCTCTCCAGCAAGTAGAAATGGTTAATTATTTCAAAAGACAAGAGACACATAAAGAACTTGTATATCCAATTCCCAACCAACATTTCATACTTGTGTGTTACATAAGAATCAATGGGCTATTATTTTTTTAACGCATCATATTTCATATTGACTCTAAAGACTATACAAAACTATCTGGACTAAGTGAAAACAAATTCAGGAGGAAGAATTCCAATAGTAATCCCATACAAACATCAAAATCACGCACTTTCACACAACTGCTTAATTCATAAACATGTGTATTACTAAACACTAGTGTAAGGGAAAACAAAGGGAACTCACTGAGACAGTAAGGTTTTTTGCCAAACTATCACTGAAAAAATCCCCGTAAAAGCCAGAAGACAATCCAGCCAAAACATTTGCAGGTGGCGGCTCCAAGTTTTGAAAGTTACAATCCCACTCTTCACCACCCCCACCTCCACCATCTCCACCACTATCTTCAAGAGGCAAATGAAAATCTTTTATAACATCTTCTCCACTACTACCACCGCCAGTACCATCGTTGGCTTCAACATCTTCCAATGGGAAATCCAAATACTTTATTACGTCATCAAAGAAATCATCGTTGACGCCATTGAAGGTTTTGTCAAACCAAGAATTATTCATAATTTATATTCCGAATTTTTCCGCTTTTTCTCTATTTTTCTGCTCACACAATAGAAGAAAATAAAAAGTTAATTACTAGTACAATAAAATGAAACACGTTTAATCCAACTATTTAAACATCAAAGGCCGAGTAAAAGAGTTATTATCCAATTTGGAAATTACCTTATCAAGCTAAAATTACGCGTTCTTTTTATTATGTTTTTTTTTTCACAAAGCAGTAAAATCTTGAGCAATTACTTCATTATCTTAAAAAAAAATAAAAAATTTCAAGCAATTAAGGTCTCTAAAGTAATATATTAGGCAAAAATAATAAAGTTTCCTACTCGGGTGAATTTTATATATGGAAAAATTGTCTCTTTCTTGGTTTGTAGAATCACTTTACGTCGTCATTTTAGCATGGATAATTACCAAACAAATTACTATTATTAATAAATAAAATATTAACACTAGTAATATCAGCTCAAAAAAATGTAAAATTTTTTCTTTTTTCATAAGCTTGTTTGGATACATGGAAAATCAAAATGCAGCCCAAGAAAAAGGTCGGAAAATTGGTAAATAATTCCAACAGAAAAGAGTGTTAGTACCCGTTTTCTTTTCCCTTCATTTTCTCAGTAACCAAACAGAAAGCCAAAGTAAAATGTAGGCACAATGGAGAAGAGAAATGACCAAATGCTAAATGAAAAACCTTTTCTTTTTTTTTTTTAACCCCCAAAAAATGAAAGCAAAAATGCAAAGAAACACAGAGAGAGAGAGAGAGAGAGAGAGAGAGAGAGAGAGAGTGGACCTGGTTTCAAGGAGAAAGTTGAAGCAGAGGCATTGTTTGGATCAGAGGAAAATGAGAGAGAAAAAACAAGAGAAAGAGAGAGAGGAAGGGAAGGGTAGGGAAGGGAAGAAGATGAGATTCCTTTGAATCTCTTTGTGTCTGAGATTGGGATTTTTAGGGATTTTGTGAAGAGAGAGAGAGAGAGAGAAAGAAAGGGAGAAAAGAGTAAATAAGTTAAGTTAATGTGGGAAGGCGCACATGGAGGTGGCTCTGCGGTTCCCTTTTAATCACCGCTCACCTCTCAATCAAAAAATAAACTTTACATATTAGCATTTCTTCTTCCTTTCGTTCTTACATTTTTGTCTTCTCGATCGATTTAAATTAAATCGAGAATCGAGTTTTTTTTTTTTTAAAAAAACCCATTATTTTAAAATACGAGTAATATCTGAAAACATTATTATAAAAAAAATAAGAATTGGATTAAATGGATTCAATTGATACAAATTTTACATAAAAGGGTTAATAATTAATAGGGAAGAATTAAGTTAATCAGGGGTTCAAAGGGGAAGGAGGGTAGATCTAAAAGGGTTTAAATTATGTTCAAAAAGGATTGAGGAGATCACCGACGAGATGGAGTTGGAGGGGAGGAGAAATCATTGTCTTTTTGGTATTGCAATCTGGGTCCCAATTATTTAGTTGGATCTTCCACATGCTGTGGTCCCTTATTTTCATTTTCATTCTTTGGCCTTTCTTTCTTTCCATTTTCCATTTTTATTTATTTATTTTACCACAAGGTAAAGAAGGACAAAGGTAGTGATTGAAGGGAATAGGGGTTGGGCACACCTCAATTTTAGGTGCCTGCCTTTTTTACCTCTTGGCTTTGACTGAGGGAAGGATTGGGCAAGCTTGTGCACTTGGTTTGTGCCCCTTTAGAATAGCCTTGCAATTCGTGGGTTTGGGTTTTTGGAGAAAGCCTTTTAAGATTGAATCTTCTTTTGAATAGGGGGGAAATGGGAAAATTGTTATAGGAAGAAAAGGGGGTGTGTAGCTTGGGAAAGGGTTGATTGAATCCTTTTCCCTTGTTTCTTGGGGGTTTCCCTTCAAGGTAGAAGTATTCACAGTAGCCATTTCTAGTATAAAGATGAAGACTTGATTCTGTATGTCAAATTTATATTTAATGCACCGACAACATACAACATATCGAATATATCCCAGAAAAAAAGGAAAGAGAAATGCAAGGGAATGTAACGTTTCTATCAAGTCACCAAATGATGTTTTTAAATCAACAAACTTGATTGCCTACGTTTAGCACTTGAAATATCCATGTCTTTTGGTCATAGATCTCTACATTCCATCTTCCTGAAACCGACCACATGCCAAATTGCCAATCTGGGTGGGCCTTTGGCCTTTTGACAAGCCACGATTCTGCTTTAAGTCAGATGGTTCTGAATTGTTCACAACCATTACACCCTCATTTCCCTAAAGGCACATTACACCTTTGACCACATCGAAAGAAAGCCACTTTCCCACACCCTTTTGAACTATCAGAACCTAAGAGGACCCCTCGGAGACAGCCTCAAGTCAGTTTCTATCACAAGTCAATTGCAAAACTACTGCTTCTATTAGAACTAAGTTTTGACCCAGCTGAGAGGAAATATAAAACTACATGAGATTGTCACGTGAATGCAACAACAAAATCATAAAGCTTTTATCCAATCATAAGTCATCACTATTGAAAACTTATGATCAACGGTTGAGAGCTTCACAATTAAGCACTCGGGCAAGATGAATAATAAGCTAATCCCTATTCTTTAATCTGATATATAAAAATTTTTTTGGCTGTGATCCATATAACCAACAGTCAGTAACATTCATATCTTCACTTTCAATGTTCTTCGCTTTGCATTTACAAACAACATGAAGATAAAGAGCAAGACAAACGGCATGGTCCACAAAAAGACATCCCAGAGCTTGGTTCCACCTGAGTAAGTGAACATGCTTCCCAGTGTGTCCTGCAAAATTAAGCAGCATAATAAGGATATCACTTTGATTGAAACAGTTAAAACTGTTGTTGCTTTCACCTAGACCTCGCCCTGTTGGAATCTAAAGAGGGCAGATATATCAAGCAAGCAGATCAAGGATATCCACAAGTAAAAAGTAAGGGCATGTTTTGGCCAACTAACATTGATTACCAGGATCTAACAAGTTACAACATTATTATCCAATTTTAACTTCTCAGTTGGAAAGGTAGAAATAACTGCAAAGCATTTTCAAAAAAAATTGTATGTGTAAGTCTTGAATGTATACCAACTCACCGGATCAAACATCTTCTCCGCAGCTTGCTCGTGTTGCTTTGCAAAGACGCCCTGGGCATACTCATAGAGCTCCAAATCAAGGTTGTTAAGCCTTTGGATCTGCTGGAGGACCATCTGAGGAACTTGAAGACGTGCCTGTAGATTCAGATGTTAATACAAAAATTGGAACATTCCAACATTGACATAGCAACAGCTGAACTCTCTTCCTCTTAAGATTGAAGCAACGATCTTATGCTTATTTTCTATTTCCTTTTTCTTCTCCCTCACTTTTTTACACAAATCTCTTTAATGTTTGATGTCTAAGGCCCCAAAAAAACCACAGCCTTTGATTTGAAACCGTAAAGGTACTTATAGCACAGATAATAGATTTACAAATAACAACCCCAAACATGTACCAACAATCAAGGCATCAACTATCTAATTCCTTTGACAATGTTTTGCACCCTAAAAGTTGCCTACAGCCCTGTCATAGCAAAAAGATGGACTGACAGAAGGGTATGACAGAGATAGCATGTCTATTAAGGCATGGTTTGCTCCTGCCAAAGTGTTCAACTACTAGATACAGTCCCTACAGTGATTAATTAACAAATCTCCAGCACATGGAACACATAAAATCATTAAGCTAAGATTTTATTTTTTTAAAAAAATTCTCAATTTTGGTAGAAAGACAGTTCAAAAACTGTAAATCAAAAAGAACTTTGGCCTAAAGATTAGCCATATAGTTAAACCAAACATGCTCTAGAAATTGATGACATATATGCATTTACAATGATGAAGCACGTTAAATGTCAGGTATTGTAGAGTACCTCCTTTGTGAAGTTTGCCGGTGAGATTCTCTTCAAAGAAGCAATACGTCGACGTGCTTGGGTCTTTCGTAAACTAGAAATGCAAACCTCATAAGTTTCCATAAGCTTTCCCACAGACATCTGTCATGGTAGAAAAGAAGACATAAGTTATTACTTTTTTCAAGAGGAAGAGATCCCAATATGCCCATATAAAAAGTCACAGAAAAATGGCTTACAGTCTCTTGCTTTACTTCATTGTCATCTGATAATGTTGCAGCTTCATTCCCCATCTCATCTGAGGTGATATTCTGTCATAGAGGCGAACAAGAATCATTATGAGTGCTACTCTAGTTGATATCCAGCTATTAAGCTTTCATTTGCTAAAATGGAGCACCTGATGATCATTACTATCCAGCTCTGAGTCTGAAAATGAAGTGCTCTGTTCTGCGGTACAAGCAAGTAATTTAAGCAACATGCTAAAAATATCTTGACTAAAATCATTTGAAAGAAAGATAAGAAAAGAAAATGAGGCAAATCAGCACTTCAATGTAATACAATCAATATAAGACATCAACAAGTGTTTACAAGGATTTCTGCATTAGACAAGTTTAAGGAGGGGAAAATTCAATAAAAGTCCACGCTAACCTGATTTATTGACAGCGGCTCCCTCACCAATAGCATTTGATTCTACCAGCTGGGAGATCACCTGTGCCCCAATCACATTGGCAAACATGGTTGCAGATTTCCTATGGTCCTCAGTTAGACCAACATATAACATATTGTCCAACCTCTTCTGCAAGATTTACAAGTATCTACCATAATTGCAACAATAAAATGGAAAAAAAGGGGAAAAAATCAGAAAAGCATTTATATGAACATTTGTACGATATTCAAACCTATTTTAATTACCTTTGCAACTTGAAGCACATATTCACCAAGTTTCTTGTACTTCTCTACACAGTGGCGCACTTCATGTGCTTCAGGTAAGCAAGAGTTGTTTGTCAATCCTGCAATCTGTGAATTAAATTAGCAAACCAGCATTTTGGATAAAAATATAGAAAGAAAAGAGCTGATGCTGCAAAGCATGGATTAGTACCTGAAACGTAGCTCCATTATGGACAATTTCATGAGCTATAGGATTGCTGATATAATCGAGTAATGGCATTGCCATGTCTTCCATATTGTATGGATCACTGCTCTTAATATCATTGATGCCCCTAACTTTTCTAGCATCTCTCTGCTCATAAGAATAAAACTAAATATGAAGGTCTCGTACATAATTACATCATTGAGGCAGACAGGTTGATTAATAAGCCACATAGAAGTCTCAGTAGATTACCAAAGACAATTCCCCGTTCTTGGTCACTTCAGATCATACAAAATGAATGCAGATCTGGTAGGTTTTGGTCATGGAAAATTGAGAAAGGGGAGTGGAGATGCTCTCAAAACAGACAAAAGAATGCTATCTTAAAAGATAAATTAATAAGCAAATAAAACTAACAATTTGCAACAGCACTAAAAATCTAAAATGCAGAAAAAAAGGTTGTGTAGCAACAACTTCTCCCTAAATGCCAAAAGGTATCACTAAGTTAAATATCAGAAAAATATTGCATAGAGAACTTGGAAATCCTGGAAAAGACAGTGAAGCCTTCACTGAAGGAAGAGAGAACTCATGCCGGCAAAAGTGTATCTCTAAGAAGTAGTAAAACTGTAGAACAAATAGCAGGGAAAAGTGTAATGATTAATTTAGAATAATAACTCATGCAGAAGTAAAGCAAACATACCCGAGCAAACAGGTCTTCCCTCATCCACGGAACAAGATACTTCCAAGGCCATATATCCAGCGTACTTACTCCATTAGTTTTAGAGCGCAAACGTCCAGTCATTTGCATAGCAGAGGTTAAGTTGGGGTGCACTAGAAACCTAGCAGCCACCTCCACTGAAAACTCATAAGTGCTAAAAACACGGTCAACTGGATTCCGAAGTATTGTCACAACGGATGTTCTGTCCCTGGGAAGTTTAGAGGTTACGCTATAGTCATCATGAGTAGTCAACAACCTGCATTTCGCCTTGCTGCATTCAGATGGGAACAAAATTCAATTATACTTGCTTGAAAGAGCAAAGGTAGAAAAGGAGAACTTGTCATTCAAGTCTTACATAAGAACAAAATTTATAAAGTACCTAGGATCAAAGCGTAGCTTGTCGTAAGACCGGGGGCATTCAAGAGAATTCGAATACAACTTCTTTAAGAAACTGCAAGCATAAACAAAAAAAATGGGGGAGAAATTAAATGCGGTTGGCAAAATGGATTGACTTCCCCAGTGTCATCAAATTGCCTTATTTTATATGAAAAATTTACCAGTGAAAATAGGTTCGTCCTCCGGTTCGTGGAACATGAAGGAAGAAAAGTAAATCCTTCAGCGTGTGTTTATCCTCTTTGACTTCATGATCAAGTGAAGTAAATGCCCATTTTTTTACCACATTTTGGCAATGCTCGGAATCAGTTATAGAAAAGACATTCACCACTACATCATCCACATAAAATAAAAGAAAAAAATTGTCAAGAAAATGAACACTTCATTCTATCATTACCCATGGAACACTTCAATCTATTCAATGAAAAGAATACCTAATCCGAGTAGTATCAACAGAACTGTGGATTTCTGAGTAGGATCCATTCACTCAATTCCTACTCCAATCACTGCCAAAGAAAATAAAAAAAAATCAGCAACAAAAAACAATAACAATACGAAAATAACAAAAAATAAAAGCCGAAAAAGAAAACAAACCAAAACAAAAGGGTACAGCAACAATAAAACCCTAAGCAAGAGCCAGGTAGACGAGAAAACCAGAGGAGAAATTGAAAGGTAAAAGAAGGGAATTTAAGTCTGAAAAAATGGAAAATAAACAAATAAAAAGAAAAAAGGGGAGGAAGAAGAAATATTCAGAAAAAGTGAGCTACCTGTTATCGAACAACGCGATCTCGTGCTCATAAATCCCCTCGAGCTGTGTCGGGACTTCGCTCACACGAATTTTAGCTCTTCAATCGATTTTGGCCCCACACCCACACCCACAGGCACATACACTGACATACATACATAAAAAAAGGAAACTAAGATATGCGTGTGCGTGAGAATTTTTCTTTTTCTTTTTCTCGCTAGCCAAACAGGGTTTTGGGAGAAGCCCTATGTCCGAAGAGGGGCACGGAAATCAGCACAGAGAGAGACAGAACTATGAACAACTCTCTCTCTCTCTCTCGACAATGATCGACGAAGTGGAAGAAAATGGAACAGTTTGAATGTCGATAAGTACCTGTCTTGAAAATTTTCATTCACTTATTTTTAATTATTTGTCAAGGTATCCCTTATTATATATTATTACTGCATAGTTTGACTTTGATGTTTTAGACTCCGTAGTCAACCCACTAAAATTTCTTCTAATGGAGAAATAATTGATAAATTTATTTTTTTTCTTTTTTTGGAAGAGATAAGATTTATCTTTTTTTTCCTCTCTAAAAGAAAAGATTTATCTCTGTAAAAAAATTACAATTTGGATGATCATATAATTTTTTTTAGGAATGGATGATTATATATCTCGATACAATACTCTCTCTCTCTCTTTTTCATTTATCTTTCTTCTCGAAATGTTTCAAAATGATTTTTTTAACATTTAATACTCTTATTTTTTTACTATATAAACTTAGTTTTTACAAAAAAATTAAATATTTATATTATAAATTTTTATAGAGAAAACGCTGTGTTATGGGTTGGGATTAGAAGAATTGAAATGAGTGGAAGTGGGGTATAGTGCTGTAGGTTGTTTGATTTTTATTTTATTTTTTAATGTATAGTTGCATGTGTCAAGCTGTCACCTTGGGTGACGCTTGCAATGCGGGACACAAGAAGGAATAGGAATGTGGGCTTTTTAGCCGTTTTAGCCAGAGTCAAAATGCCTAAATGGTGCCCCCAACCTACCCCATTTTGGGGACATGAAAAAAGGGCTTAAGTAATAGAAAGCTCCTCCATTATATATCTAAATTCTTTTATTTTTATATTATACTCAAATAAAATCTTTTATTTTTTTTATTTATATTCGTACCGGACAAAAAATTGACAGTCATAGATTTAATATTAACTTTACGTCATATATGATATAACGTCTGACATCTACCGTGTGAACAAAAAATATTTTAAAGACTTGTATAAATAAAAATCAATAAAATATAGACTTAAATAAATTTAGACCCTTTGGTGGTGGGCCCTACCCACACACCACCAAGGAGATTTTCTAGAAAAGAAAAAAAAAGATAGAAAAAATAAACAGTCCATGTCAGCATTCCATTTAAGATAGGATTATAAGTAAGAAATTAGAAATCCAAATGGAAAATTTAGATACTAATTTAACTGTGTCAACTGTACAAAGGTTTTGTTTTTTCCATTCCAATGATATGGTATATATCTAACAGCACCAGATGATGATGCTGTAGATAATCCCATTTGATTGAATAAAAGAATCGAACTTTTTTTTTTTTTTGGCAAGCAAGCAATGAATATGCAATAATATGATTTTTTTTTTGTATTCTTCATCATCCAAAGCTTTTCTTAGCCAGCCTATCAAGTAAAACATCAGATTGAGAAGTTAATCATACTTTTACTGGAATAGATTTCGTTGCGTCTAGATGGTTCAGGCGGCATGTCCCGAGAAGATACTCCGGGAGCTCCTCTTCTGTGTTCGCCTGCATACAAGCAAATCGGACAACTTTAGACTGTTGGAGGTGTATGTATGATCATAGACAAAGGTGAGAGGTTGCATTTAAGCTCAAAAAATGTTGTTCCGTTTTCGATCCTTGTTTTGCTTAACTGTTGTTTTTACCTGTATCAAGAATGCCATTTCGATGACCAGATTGTTGAGGTAACCAAGCACAAGATTGACCACACCTCTGGCTACAGTTGATGATCCAATGTCGATCCCAAGCTGAAATAACAATTGCAAAAAATTTCAGTGTCATGCCGTACACATAAAACTTCTCATGCTTTGTAAGTGATGTTGTGCCTCTCCAGTTTGCTTCCGAAGAGCGAAAAGGCTTGAAGAGAAGTGAAACCAACTCAATCTGGTCTTATATGATTTTTCAAATGCATCCTCCCTTATTTACAATCCATACAACTACAGATAAATATAATTGTACCGCACATCACTTCAAACACTGATTAGTGAAACTAACTGATTGTTCCGAAATGAGTAAATGCTATATATACACGTGCATGTGTGTGGTTGGACCTGCACAGATTTACATACGTTTCATAAAATTTTACCTCCAAGTAGTTCTTCCCATGGAAATAGTTAATTTCCAGAGCTTGGCCAATGAGACAAGCTTTCTTTCCAACACTCTGCTTGACTATCCACGACCCCTGACAAAACAAAGTCCAACTGTCAGTACCCTTTGCTTTATGCAATGCGGAATAAAGTTATATAAAGCACAAAACTAGCTAGTCTTCATGGTAATTCTCTGCTTTGAAGATTTCATTTTAAGAAATCCTTACGGTTTCTGAGCGGCGAATTTGGAAAAAGCAATTTTTATGTAAGACCTTAATTCTTTAAAAAGAAAAACACCAATTAAAAATACAAATTGTTTTTTGCCTTCTGCTTAAATGGAGCACAAGCTTGATCAATTGTTTTTGAAGTTCTTATTAAACCTACTAGTGAGTTCACTTCCATCAAGAATACACAGACTCTCAATCTCAACTGCAAAAATGCTGCATGCACCAACCTTTGATATGTATGGAATGAGCTTAAACCTTGAATTTCTATATGCATCATCTCCATTGATGAAGTTCTGTAGTAAGGGTGAATCTTCGACAGGAGTATTCATCATATAGTATAGCGCTAAGCTATATGTAGTTGAACCTGGCACCTGTTTCACAGTAAATAATTCAAATATTTCAAATGCTTGAGAACCAAGGTGAATATAGATAGAAATACAGCTTGACAGGATAAGTGTAAGCAAAAGACCAAAGTACCTGGATGTTTATAATGAAGAAAAACTCTGGCCCTCCCTGAGCAGCATATTTCTGCAGATAAACGCTTTGTAAAATTTCTTTTAATTTACATGCATAATATAGCAAATGCAACAAGTACAGTTGAGCTTATAGGTGACTCATGAGCAATGATCGCAACATCTCAATTAACAAAGTAATGACATATATTAAAGAAAAACCTGAACAATGCCTCCAGGACGACCTCCTAGATCATCTTCTCGTTTGTCAGATCTTAGCCAATCTGCAGCAACCATTTGCATCAACGTGCCCGTTGCCTTAAACTGAAAAGAAATCAAGAGTAAATATATAATTTTAAACTGGAACTTGAAATTTCAGGGCAGGCAAACTAAAAATGGAGCTTTACACAAGAAAAGCCAAAGGGAATTCATTGGGGACATCCAGGACTACATATTTCTAGAAGCTAATCATGGTATAATATCTACAGAACCCTACAATTGATTGTATCCAAAACATGCTAGGCAAACATGGAAGGACATGTATAGTTTAGAGATCATAAGAGACAAAACATCAGTTCACTGCAAGATCATGCAATAAGGCATACAATAATCCATCATAGAACACACCAGATGAACTTTTCTCATACATGACAGCTTTGTCCTCACTGAAAAATTGTTCTTCATACCTTCTTACGGTCTTCCAGGTAATTCTCCCCACGAATTAAAAATGTGGAGGGTTCTGCTGCTGTCCAACTGCAAGGTAATGTACAAGTCGGATCCTTTGGAAGAGTGTTTCCATAAGAGCAAAATATGCCATCTTCCCTCATCATGTCTTGTAAGTCCACATAGCCCCTCTTCTGGACTGCAACATGGGAATATTGTAAGCCATCAGCAATATTCAACTATTTCCTTGAAAAAGAAAAATCATTGTTGCCGTAAATTTAGAGGTTTAGGTGAATACTGATCATCCAAATAGGAACCACCTGCAAGATCATGTAACTTTTTCACAAAAACAGCAGCAGTTGATAACTTTGGATGGCGTGTATCCTGCAAGTTTCTCAGTCATATAGAAGTTGGTAAGAAATTTGAAGCAAAACAATTTACATAGAACTTTTAATAGCCTCATGTAATGCTAGAGTTACTGTAATCCAGGAACAAGAAATAAAATATCAAAAATGGAGAAGCTCTATAGGGGGTCACATCCTCTATGAGATATGAGGCACCACTAACTGCAAATTCATTTGCATGTGAAAAACAATGATAACTACTTTGACACATACCTGAGAGTATGCTTCTGGACCAAAATCAGAAGCCCACCCATCTTCTGATTGATCATAGTCTGTTGGTTCTGGAACATCAAAGAATTCATCAGCAGCATCATTAAGTCCCACCAGGCTCGAGTGTTCTGAAGGTGCTCTTTCCATTACTTCACTCATATTTTCCTTGATTTTCCCAGCCTCTATCTGTGTACACATATCAACCATGCCGTCCTCTTCACTCTGATGCAACCTAACATTCCTTATCAACTCTCTGGATGGAAGATCAACTGAAGGATATTTTCCTTGTTTTGCTTTGAATAACTCTCTTAGTGCTGCTAGTACATGATATAAATTCCCAGCAATTTAATGCCCCAAATGATCACACAAAGTTATAACGCAGAACTCACACACATACACTACAGACAATATATGAACAGATAAATAAGATTCTACCAGCAGTTGCGATGATTACCAGCAACTCTCTCAAGCATCCGAATGGTAATAGATCGGGCTGCAGAAGTTCGCAGATAGGATTTCCAGAATTTCCAATCAATTGCAAGCATGTGTTTTACAACAGAGTGTTTTCCTTCATTCACTGGAGATATAACATATCCACCACCTGCAAGTAAGTACCAATCGTTAATTTCATAGAGTAAGTTTTGCTTTTGCTGTTTTTAAATATAAATCTCCTTATCTTTAATTAACAAAAAAATCAAGTCCACATCATATGCCACAACCCATAAATTTCTGTGTGGTATATGAGGACAATGAAAAAATTGATCAAATCAAAATAAAGAAAAAATAACTATTTATCAGCAGTATTCAAACTGAGAAGCCAAACAATGCTTCAATATACAAACTCACACGAAAGCCAGTATATATGCATGTGCTCATGCACACATGAGATACAAGGAGGCAAGGCACTTGCATGCTAAATTTATGCCAAAAACAGCTCATTCATCTTATAATGTCTTTATTTATGTATAACACCAGAATATAGAGAAGTCAGAAAGATGAAAAAAGTTCTCTTTTACTTATATATTTCAGGCATACATTACTTTTAAGGCAGGCACGGACATAGCTTTTCTGTGGGGGCCACTTCTTGTGAAACACTGAGTGGTAGAGAATAACTGTGAGAAAATCAACCAAACAAGATTAGTTGGCAATTCAACTGGATCTGTTCTGAATTCTGAATAAAACTTTTAAGAATTTTCTCAAAGCAATAACCACCATATGTTCCATCATCTTCTCTTCTCCAATAGCGCCGCAACAAAAGATCCCTCCTTCTCATTCCCCTGCAAGTATAATGAGTTAGTAAAAATTAAACAGAAACCTCTGTCCAGCAAAACATAATGATTAAATCCGAAGATTCCATCTGACCAAGGTAACCAGTCACTATATAGCTGCTTGTGAACAATATCAGTATGACCATCGAGATGTTCAACCACGCTACCCTTGTAGAAACAGAAGTCCCATCTGCAAGACAATTTGATTAGACACTTGTTTTTAGAAAAACAAAAAGAATACTTTTCAGAAAAGACACAATACATTGCTAGTTGAATAGAGTTCTAGCTTTCCACAACTTTTGGACACACTAGAAAGCATCTGAGCAGTAATCATGAATCAAATAGATGCATTAAAAAAGGGCACCAAATACAGATGTCAAATCTATGCATAGTATGATTTTCAGGATCTAGATTCCTTCCTATGGTTCTTTTGAGCTATTAAACTATACTGTATTAAGAATCTCTAGATATATTGGACTTTCACATTAACAAGGGCAACGATTACATAGTATCTTTTGCTATCTACAACTTCAGTGGGAGAAAAGCTCTAGTGACACACAAAAAATTCGTCCAATGAGAAAATAACAATCACAATGAGGTCTGTTCCGAAGAATCAAAATGCTATATTTACTACAATTACTAATATGCATAAAATTAAAGTACCACTTGAGATTGAAATCAAGCCATGCCTCTTACAAAAGAATATAAGTGCTTTATTTTAAGAAAAGTACAGAGCACTTGGCAACTTACTCTGATCTTGAGGGTCCTAGAGACATAAGTGTCTGGAAAATGGCTTCTGAAGTTCCATCTACAACACCCACAGCCATGATTGCAGGATGGTCATCCCACTGCCAAGGGAGGAGTAAAATAATCAAATTACAATTGCATGTAAAACCATAGACTGGTGAATCAAAAATTACCAACCTTTCCGTGAGAATCCCTATCTTTAGCTTCTTTAAACAGTCTAAGACCTGCATTGCACTCATGGTTTTAGACAAACAACTATGGCTATCTAAAAAATCACAAGTTTTTGTTTGTACTTACCGTTCTGACAGCCAAAGATTGTCCAAGATGATGGTGCTACAACATCAGACATCACTCTGTCCACCTTTGTGGATGAATGAAGAGTCCAGTCAATAGAATTATTGTGAATTTCACTACTGGAACCACTGGATCTGCATACATAGAGACCTTCTAAGAAACTGATATATAATAATGAGGTATTAATACAAAAACAAACATCATGTCCTCTTACAGAACATATGTGAACAAACTCAACTTAAATAATTCAAGCAATCTGCACAGAACCCAAATAGTTTACCAGCATAGGTGAACAGACAACAAAAAACCCAGAAGTTAAATGCATGTTGAATAGCAATAATGCTGAATGGTAACTCATTATTATACCTGAAGGACTGCCATCTGCTCCTTGAACAGGCAACATCATTTCCAGGGTGTGGACCACCCTGCATATATACAATCAAGTCTCAGTTGCATCTCATCTTATGCCAGAAACTTATGACATGCATTAACAAGAGGAAGCTGTTCAGCACCTTTAAAGCTGCTTCTTGAAAGGAATGAATCCATCTTGCTGCTTCTTCAGGACTACTAGCTCCTAGCTATTAAATTTAGATTCCATATCTCATACATGAAGGTGAAAGTATTATACATATTGACTAACAATCTTTATATGAAATATTTGCCTCACCTTAAGCTGATCATTGTGATTAGAACTATTATAAAGAGTGAATATGAAGAATACCTACAAAGTCGAACAAAAACTGTCATTACAAAGGCGCCAATGGCATGAACTGATCAGAAAGAGAAACCTGGAAATTTACCAATGCCCAAGAAAAACAACACATAATTTACATACTTTTCTGTGAATGCTCTCCCTCCCATTATCTGTAACCCGGATGCAGGAATCAATAATTGCACTTCTACCAGGTTCCTGAGAAGCAAATCAAGGTTTAGCTCTTACACCTAATAAAATTCCCAAAACCATCAAATAAACAGTCCGCAAGTGAGAAACTAAAAACAACTTATTAACTCAAAATGAATGTGAGCCTAAATACAATCTCAGAACCCTCATTTTCTTCATTCATCAAATTATAGACACATTACTTTCACAAAGCTAAAAACGAACTGCAACAGCAAGAAACAGAGGCACTAGATAGCTTGATCATGGGCTATTTTTCCAAGGCAGCTAAACCCACTTCCCACAAAAAATGAGACGTGGTCACTTTGTATAATTATGCTTAAATTGGAGCTGTTTGCTTGGCTTATGATTATTCTCAAATAAACTCAACTATCAATAAATAAGAAAGTTAAAGATTAAGGAGTTCAAAAACTGTGACATATGAATGATAAAGTAAAATATTCCTGACACAAAGTTGACGGTAGAATTCTCCAGAATTACGTATAAACAGTAATATCTCTAACAAAAAAGAAAGCACCAGCAAAATCTGAGAAACTGCTTTGATTGAAAGAAACAATTCAAAAAGGTCAAAAGAGCAAAAAGTCTGCGACGTAGTAAAATACATGTTCTCAACCATGCGCGCGCTTTCTCTCTCTCTCTCTCTCTCTCTCTCTCTCTCAAAGTAAACGCGCTAATACTCGAACGGAAAACGCGTTTGCCATGGAAATTATTAAAGCACGTTCAACTAATCCATGATTAAGAAACTAATATCATAATTAAATAAAAAAAATTAACAACATATAATCAATAATCTTCTCCAGTAAAAATTACTAGTTACTTCGCCAGCTGGATCGACTAATCAAAAACTTAAACAACAAAAAAAAAAAGAAGACAAAATACAATGATATTAAAGTTTAATGCCATTATTTCTTCTCAAGATTTGTTAAATGAGTAAAGAAACTTGCAAGATAAGTTTCTCCACAAAAAAAAAAAGATATTACTAAAAAAGGAGTGATGAAAAAGAAGGAAGAGACCTGGAGATTGGAAATGGGAATGGATTTGAAGCTCTTGAGAAGATGATCTTCAAGAACAAAGTAACGTTTCCTTGAGTACTGTAATCCAATCCGATTCGAACGAATTATATATAGCCATCCTTCCATTTTCAAGTCTTCGTTCTGCGAACCAGCCATTTTCCTTTTCCTTTTCCTTTTTTAAAAAATAAAAAAAACAAAGAAAAAAGAGAAAAAATTCTTTTCCAAACAGAGAATCAAAAGAAAATGGTGGATGCTGATTCGATCCTCCTGATTCTAATAATGGAAGTACAGAGAATTCAAGCTGTGAAAATTATCGAAACTCTCTTTCTGCTTTGGAGTTTCAGTTACTGAATAACCAAAAACAAAAAAAAAAAGAAACAAAAATTACTTTCTCTCTCTTTCGCTCTCGTTTTTCTGTTCTCTCTTTTGTTTGAGAAAACTGAAAATGGAGAGAAAGCATATATGAGACAAAGATTGCCAGAAGGCGAATATTGAATTATTGAAATTACTTTCTTACCCTTTTCTCATTGCATTTGAAAAAGGTTGAACGAAGTACGCTCAACTTCTGCAGCCAATCATGTACTCGTTCCCCTTTTTGTTTTTATTTATTTAATTAGAATAAAAAAAAAGTTTAGGGTAATATTATATCTGTACCCTTTCTAATTTCAATTTGGTTCATTGACATCCTTTTGATATCATTTTTTTTTCAATTAGTATCTTGTAAATAATTTCAATTCTTACAAAAACTGATTTATTAATTTTACCGAGTAAAATACAAGAATATCCTTCAATATGAGCAAATAATATAGCTTTAAATTGAAAATTATTTTGATAATGTTCTCGGTAAAATTTGTCCAAAAATTTGAATTCAGAAGAAAAAGAAATCACAGGGTGTTATGTGAAAAAAATTAAAATTTTAAGGGGTGTAGGTGAAATTTGTCCAAAAATTTATATACTTGTAGAAAAAAGAAAGAAGTTTTGAATTTTTTTAATTTACTATTTAACAAAAACACCTTTAAATGTGAATAAATAATTTAACTTTGAATTGAAAATATTTTGATAATTTTATCAAGTAAAGTTAACATTGTAACTTTTGTGAGAATCGAAGTTATTTACAAAATACTAATTGAGAAAAAAAATCACAATGGGTCATGTGAAAAAAAATAAAGAAATCTCAAGGCATGTGAGTGAAATTTGTCCAAAAATTTATATATTCATGGAAAAAAGAGGTTATTTTTCTTGTAAAAAAAGTAACATCAAAATTCAGAGTTTGTTGAGAAGTTTGCAACTAACTTGACTTGAAAATAATCATATCAACAATATATATTAAGGTCCATCCTCCATAATGTATTGGTGAAAGGTTCACATCCAATCATAGAACCAAATTAACAAAGCTAATTATGACCAAATAGTGTATATATATATATATGTTTGATTACTATTAATATGTATTGAGTCTTATCTGGAAAAATATTTATCAGAATATTTGAATTTTTGAAATTTTATATTTGTGATTTTTTGTGTAAAATTTTTGTCCTCGATAATGATTTTTAGTAAAATTAGAGGAGGAAAAAAAATTTGGGATGGTGACAAATGAATGAAAATGTATTGATTTGCATGTTTCTTTCATTTCTTGTGGCATTAAGCTATGATGACCACTTTTCTGTGGTCCTGATTTAATAGTTACGTATAAATTTAATTAGGAAGATGTCAATGGTACAAAAGTGCATACTAATAATGTCTTTATTCAAGAAAATTCCAATGAATTTCTTGTTTTTATTTGACATCCAATGGCATTGACATTAAGATCGAAACATCCTTTTGTTCATGCTCCACAAAAATTAGAACTCTATCATCTAAAATGAAAAGGACCGTTCTTAAACTTTTATATGGTCACCAATCTTCCAATCCTTTATAATAGTAATAATAAATCTCAAAATTATATATTTTTTAGTTTTATCGGTTCATATCATCGTAACCGTTTATTATAATTATTTATATACGTATTTAAAATTACATATGTGGCTATTTAAACCTCTAAATTTAAAAAATATCTTCCATTTGTGTCCTTTATGGTACTTATTTTTTAATCTGTTATATTAAAAAAAATTCTTATATCCACACAATTTTTAAATTTTAATAAAAAATTAAATATAATTTTTTATATGACATATGATCTAATTTAATGTCAATCCCACATGATTGATATGTAGTCGACTTCGTATATGTTACGTGAATAAAAACTTGATAGAATTATTGTTATTTTTGTTAAAGTTACGTAACGGTCTGGGTACAGATATAATTTTTTTTTTAATATTTAAGCCTTTATGCAATTTGCCAAAAGGAGCAGGAAAGAAACTAGCATGGGTGCTTGTAATCGTACACGTAAACGAACTGTGACGATAGAAAAAGCTGGCTAGCTAAAACCTTTCGGCTCCATCCTTGTCATGTGGGCGGCGGCGCCTCTTCCTTGCCTCTGTCACTGTCTCACCAATCATCCAATGATTTCTCTTCGTTTTGCTGAAGCTTTCATGTGCTGCCATTGCCACCACCACAACCCTATACAGCTTTTATTCGATGGATAAAAAAAAGGGAGCTCACGGGGAACTTGGTGTTTCTTCACGGGAAAATATGAACGGAATAGAATTTTTCAATTTTAATTTTGATTTTTTTAAAAAAGTTGGCATAAAAATTTCCTTTCATATTGCTACTGAATTAACCCAAATTTATCGAAAATGATTTATTCGTCAAACGATTCGATAATTACACAAATTTAACATAAAATTTAATTTGATCGGTTATGCTATTTTGTATGTTTGAAAGATTTTGTTGGTCGATTTTACTTTTCTATTATGTTCGGAAGGAAGGAAAAACGGACGAAACGAGAAAAAATGTGAGGAAAGAAAATTAAAAAAGGAAGGGAAAGGAAATTATTTATTTTTTTTGTAATCCGTATAAATGATAAAAAAATAAAAAAAAGATTTAAAATAAAATTATTAATTTAAGTTAAAATAGATATAAAAAAAGTAATTTTTCCTTCTAATCTTTTTTATGACGATGGGTTATTAAAAAGAATTTATATTGTAGCAAAAATTATGATGTAAGGTTTTGGTTAATATTTTTGACATTTAATCTTCAATTTGCTTCCTTTAAAAGGGAAAATTTTTTATTTTTTATAAATGGGAATAAGGGTGTTAATGGGGCTGGGGGATCACATCATATGATTAGGTTAGCATGCTTTTGAATTGGAAAACAAATAAAAATGAAAAGTAACATTTTCATTTCATCAATCAATAAGACATAGTCTACCAAACCTTCTTTTGGCTGTCCAAAAAACAAAAGAAAAAGATGTTTCCTTTTTCTCAAACAAAATTAAGTCATGCATGCAATCATCTATCATTTCCACCTTCTACCTCCTATTGGCTTTCCCAATGCATGTCAAAAGTTTTTATTGGCTTGTTACATAAAATTTTTTGAGTTTATATTTGATACATTATTAATATGTAAATACATATAATATATTATTACTTAATCACAATGACGCATTGAGGATTTTATATGAAGAGTGATTAAAAGGTAATTGGTGGTTGATTGGTTTGATTATGGGTGATGAAATTATATCTTAAATTTTATACATATAATAATGAAAAAATAAAACATTGAGGAATGACAATTGCCACCTCACCATCATCTTTGATTCATCTTTACTTAATTGTACAGTGTCACTTCATAAATATGTAATAGTAAAATTTTAAAAAATTTTCAAAATAAATATTTTTAAGATTATGAGTATTTATTTTTGAATTTTTTTAATTTATAAGTTTATTTATTAACGAGACAACAATAATATAAACTCGTCTTTATCTTTTAAATAGAGTTACTGTTTCTTCCTTTTTGATGAATAATTAGTAGTAGTAGTAGTAGTAGAGCCCCTTTAATTATTAAAAAAAGATATTCAAAGGAAGTATCATGGTTTTAGGAAAACATCATTTTCATATATCCAACTAACAATTTTGTCCTATTTAGGTCACTTTGGAATCTGTTGCATATACTATAATCCCATAGATTAATCTAAAAATAACAATAATTATTTGGCAATTCTTGACTAGACCTTGGAAGTTTACCCATCCTTATAATAATTAAACCTTTTTGCATTGGAAAATAATTAGTTCTTGTAAGTTGCACCCTTTTTTATATAATTTTCAGGACATAATATTCAGTGTCACCTTCTGTATCACGCCTAATTATATTAAGTAATAATTACTTGTCAAAAAATATTTAAAAATTAAGTTACAAAAAATTCATAATTCAAATATTAGTATTTAATTACATGTAGAACATGCTGATGCTTCTATCTGGTGGCTAAGTTGGCATCATCTGGTGAAGGCTCGAAAAGGGTATTTTCGTCCGTAACTTTTTTTTATTATAATCTTACGATTATCTAATCATAGTGAAATAGATTATATAATTTGGATAAACTTTCGGTTAATAGATTACATCTCTTGATTCTAGAGATAAAATATAATGCTATTTTAGTTCAAAAATAATTAATCTGAATGTGAAAAGATAAAAACGATGATAACATCTAATGATAATTTTATTTATAAATTTAAATTTAACTTAATAGATTGAGATATATAAAGATTTTATTGTCTAGTTAAATATTAATAAAGGGGGAGAGAAATATAATTGGGACAAGAATTACACACAAATTAATACTAATAGTAGTTGCAGTTTGCATGTTTGCATCAAGAAAAAGGGCTTTTGTATTTTAGCCAAACCACACCTAACGTAGGTGGGGTTGCCTTTGATAACAAAGTGCTCACCTATTGGGTTGGTAAAGCTGGTTCTTGGTTGGGTTTTTGCTTATCACATTGAAATTCATTTCAATACTTGTTTAGTGGAAGATAAAAAGAATTTTCTTCTCTATATTGTTATTTTAAGAACATAAAATATTTCACATATTTATATGATATTTCATGAATTTGAGTTTTTTTAATAAATCTAATTATTTTTAAAAAATAAAAACATTGCAATGATTAAAACTTAAAATTTTATTTTAAAAGTTTCGAGTTTGAATCTTGACGTAAGTTGGACAGATTCTCGTTGTATAGCTTGATACCATGGTAACGCCAAAATTGGTATATAATCGAAGTTTGAATCTTTATTAATATGTCTAATTATGTTAATAATGTTAGACTTCTATCTTAAAAGTTTCGAATTTAAATAAGTTGGATAGACTCTAGTTGTGTTTCATAGCCAAGAGAATGCTAACAATGAAGCTGAATTACAATTTGTCTATGGTTCCATGAATTTTACAATAAGTAGTGAAGAGGAAGAACAGATGGATTTGGGAAATGAGGGGGGTTTATTTAAAGAATCAAAGTCATTTACGTGTACTCGAGACAAAACGTCTGGAAAGAACTCCTTAATACACAAAAATCTTTATGACAAAAAATCCTGTCTTGCTTTAGACAAGGGAATCCTTGTCTGATTTCTTAACTTCATGACCTTCTTTCTCCATAGCCAGAAATGGTGTTGCATCCTTATCTTTCACCTGAAAGAAACAAAATCAGACATAAAATATTGTCAGCAAAAACCATTTCCTGGGAGATATCAGGGAAGGGAAGAGAAGGGTTGTATGTACCTGAGACCCTAGTGGATCAGCTTGTTTCTTCTTGTTCTCTTGGGTGCAAAAATAGGAATACAAGCCCATCCCAAAAATGGCTATCAGGATTCCAATGATGTTCCTGTCTGTGAAAGGGTCATGCAGCAGTGTGTAGCCAAAGCCAAGAACCAGGCAAGTCTTCAGGTGGCCGAGTACTTGATATGTGACTGGGGATGTTTTGCCAATAACCAGAAATGTGCTGAAGTTGACAGATACTGATATAATGCATGAGAGGATGATGAATGCCTGCAAATGTTTCAAAAGCAATAAGTTTATCAGAATCCCCATTGATAATCTCTGCTGTGTGATATCGCTGAGAAAAGAGAGGTTTTGGGTTCTGTACCAAGACTATGGGAGAATATTTGTAAGCAAACACATTTTGCTTGGTGAGACACTGATCTACCAAAGGGCCGGAGACAAAAAGAATAGCTGCTTGAAATGGGGCTGACTGGTACAGCAGCTGGGTTGATGAGACATTAAGCCTCTTCTGAATGGTGTTTGTCAACTATATTCTTCAAGTCAAGAAAACAAAAGAAGTGCTAAATCATTTCAGAAGCACTTGTCAATGTTAACTTTCATTTCCTAATATGGAATATGATTCTGAAATGTAAATGCTTGTTCAGTTGATGCATCCTCAGATTTTAACAACCAGCAATGAGAGTAAAAGGATACAATTTGACCAACACAGGTTGTTATAATGGCTAGGAGCGAAAGGATTGTCCCGACAAGATTGAGCTGCAGATCAGTTATAGAGGCAATGCCAACTCCAACAAGTAAGACAAAGAGGGACAGCTTTATCTTTTGGCTGCACATGGTAAAAAACAGAAGTCCTGGTAAGCTTTGAATCTCAAAATGCTCAACTATCAGAAGCAATGGCTATGTAAAATGAAGACAAGAAGAGCAGGAAAAACCTGAATTGTTTTTTAAGGAAGGCAGTTTCCAATAATACGGTGAATGGTATGATTGCTAGTTTAGTCATCTGCCAAAAGAGGCACCACAAAGAATGAGGTGATTATATACTTCTGAAATAGATTTCCAGGAAAGCTTAATGTTTTAAGAAAATGTAAGTCCACCTGATAGAATCCAATGGAGTTAAATCCAAGGCTCAGGTTGAGAAGTCCAATGGAAACACCATTGAGGATGCCAAAAAGCATCACAGTTTTCATGTCGATTGATTTATTCTCGAACAGGTTGAAGCGTTGTGCAGCATGAAGGGTGCAAAATGTCACCATGAGATGCCAGCTAGTGAGTGTTGTAGCTGCACCAATGAGAAAGAGGGTGGGAGGGGGATCGAAAGAAGATCAACTCAGTTTTGTGGTAAATAAATAGTTTATTCCTGTCTTTATATAATAATGGAGAAAATGGATTTTAAAATAAAGGAATAAAGAATAGAGTAATTACCAAAAGGGAAGCCAAGATTGCTCATCAAAGCTTTGTTGCATATGACAATGGAAACAGATGATGCAACTGAAAGGAACAGGGCGCCAATAACACCCAATTGGAAGCTTGACATCTCTCCCATCTTTGCTGAAACCAAACAAAAAAAAAAAGACAAAAATAACCAGAAAGAACAGCTAGTGGATGTGTACTGCTGCACTTAAACAATTGCAATTTGACTGATACTAGTCATTGTAAAATGTCAAGCCAATTTGAAAATTAGACATGAATTCCTGTCGGTTAACTGCTGATTGTTGTATGTTGATGCATCATTCTCTTTAACCCAAAGCATAAAAGATAAGCAGCTTATCATATCAGAAGGCAGATTAATCTCAGAACACTACTTTCTAGAATCTTACCTGTATTACAGTTAAGAAAATAAATGCATACTTGATAGAAGGGTCTGGATGTTACTCTATGATCTAGAGAAAAAATTGAGATTAGCTACAGATGTTTTATTCCAGAGATTCTTAATGTTGAACTCTTATCAGAAACTTACAAACAATGTTGGCAGAATATGGAAATAGATTCTTAAAAACATTTGTGAACTGTTCATTGATGAAAATGCAAACTGTTTTGCTTTTCTTTATTGAATATATTCCACTGTTACCCAACAGTGATGTGGAAAAACTCAAAATGGACTTGATTAATTGAATAAATATTCTTCAAGCTTTTTCTGGTTTGCATGTTTCAGAAGCAATGAACATGCAGAGACAAAACAAAAGAGTCTTATGAGTTATCACCTTCTGCTTTGCAGAAATAGATATCTATGCAGAATACTCACATAAATGTTACCTCGAAAAGAAGTGGAAAGCTTTGGAGTTTTAGGAGCCCTGGAAGAGATTCAATGAAAGAAAACTAAACTTAGTTTCATCAAACACATTCCTCCAGAGAATTAAAAAGAAAAAAAGAGATGATCAGAGTGAACAAAGAGAGATATACCTTGTGAAAGAGTACAAGGAAGTTTTACAGGATTATTGACAGAGGGCTCCTACAACTCCATAAACTGACCAGAAAGCACCAGGGTACAACAAAATCAAATGTGAGAGGGCTGGAGAAGAGAGTTGAGAGAGATTTTTGAGCTGCAGAAAGGTTGGAGAGAGAGAGAGAGAATGAGTTGGTTGTGGCTTGTATGAGAATGTAGGTTTTTAAGAAGGCTTTTTATGTCGGATTGCAAAGAGGGTTGGTGCCAAACGCTGTTTCAATTTGAAGTACTAATTTGTCTTGTATTTGTTATTCCAGAGGGAAGCTAACGATCAGTTTAAGCAAGGAGACAGTCAAATTTTTTAAAATGCTGTTGAGATGACATAATGAAACTTCCTTTTCCAATTACAACTACCCCCATGCCCACTCCTGTTTACTCTTTTTCATTTTCTGCAACATGGGTTGCTGAGGTTATTTGTTTTTGTTTCACCCCCATGCTGTCATTGATATTGTTTCTCATCGGACCCAAAAATTAAAAAGAAATTCTCTCTGTGATTGTATGCAACAAATTTGATGAATGTAGAAAGAATTATTTTATCAGGGAGAATTTGCGTTTTTGTTGGTCAAACTGATTGATGTTTAAGCATCAAATTTGGTGGTGAAGATCTCTGTCACAGTCCAATGGGGTCTCCCAAACCATCTAGCTAACCCCTTTTGTACCAGCTCACCCATATCTCTTTGAGCATTTAGGGAGAAATTTTAAATGAGCCTTAGCCCACAAGCCAGGAAGGTAAGACGAACATTTTCTTATATGCAAGTGAGGTGCCTGCCATTGCAAGCGATAAGGCTTTGCCATCCTCAAACTCAATTGGAAGTTTGGTGAGGAAAAAAAGAACTTTATTTTCACTCATGAAGTGGCCTTTTCCTTGGCTTCCTTTAAGCATCACCATCACCAACCAGGCAAATTAGGAAAAAAACACTTTCTCACAGTATATCTCCACTGTACCCCTTGGGCTATGTCTCTGGTCTTGGACCAAAACCAAGAATGAGAATCCTGCTGACATTCAGGCATTTATTTAACGAAAGCTGTACATAACATTACATCTTATTCTTTCCGGAAATTGCATTTCATTACAATCATGAAATGATAGGGTACCAAACGTCATCTTAGATCACGCCAACACAGTTTTCTTATTATAATTTTGGCCGTGTTGGGTACAAAGATATACTTACAGGGAATGATCCATTTGTTGGCAAGCTGTTCCATCTTATTACGTACTTTGGATATTTGCACAGGAGACAGGGAGAGAGAGTAAACAATGGGTGAGACATGTAATGGAGTACCTGCTCCTTACTCTTCAAAAAAGGGAGGGAATCTTCAGTGAAAAATGTGAATGCGGTTCAAATGTCAATGCAGTGGGATATCAAAGATACATATTCAGCGGTTACATGACAACCTTCTCTCTCTTTAAATGAAAAAGAGAAGGTAAAAACCAGTTGCTTCCACTTACAGTTACTTCATTTGAGCATGATGCAGAAATTAAAGTACTAGATTGAAATCAGGTGAAAGCTCCTCCCTGGCTTAATAAATGTTTAGAGAACTAATTGATGTAACTCCCCAATTTCCTGGACACCACCATTGTTAAAAGGCAAGTAGAAAAATGATCAAAACACGAGGAAGATGAGATAACAAATGATTCTCTCCTTTTTATATAGCTGCAAATATCATAAGGTACAAAAAATGTGGCTCGGGAATTGAGTATACCCTTCTTTCACAGCAAAAAATGTCACTTAAACTGAACTCTAACAAACATCATGTGAGATAATACATGTACAAATGTGGGGTGACAATGAGAGAGGTTTGGGGGAAAACAACAAAATAAATTTATTCCTTTCCAAGCTGAGCAAGGTATGCCTTGTCTGCACTAGCGAGACGATTCTGAAACATTGACCATTCGTTTTTACACCTTGCTCTAACCTGTGGGATGGAAAAGAAGGAGAGAAGTGAGTTGGTTTAAAGATTTAATCTTTCTTTTTCTGAAGAGAAGTTTCAAAAGAAGGCACTGATGTCAAAATTCATAATATGCATACCCCTTCCCAAGGAGCTTTTCCATCCTCCTGCTTGCCCTGAAATGTTGACAGAACTCATTGTAATGAGATTATAATCGGGAGGGCCATGACAAACACGTTGAATATGAATGAAGCAAAGATATGGCAAAATAATATAAGAGGGGAAAGAATAAACAACATGAGATAATATCAAAGTTGAGCGGGTGACATCCAATGCTTCTTAAGTGCCGGGGAAAATTGTTCCAAGAAGGGGAAAAAAGAGTTTCTCAGTTAAACTTCTTCAATGAAACAAATCAACATCACGTGGCACTAGTTTTATGTTTACCATCCATGGCATCAAATATAGATCAAAAGCTATATTCATATAATTAATAATTTACGCAAACTGTAGAAGGAAACTGTATGAGAATATGAGACACAACATCATACAGCATTATAACATTGCCAAAATATCAAGCAAGCTGATGATGACTCACCTGGCTCCCAAGAGAAGGAATTACTTGATGAATAATCCATTGTGAATCTACCACACCAATTTTTTCATGCGCAGGCTGTGGAGAAGAAAACAGGATTCGGTACAACATTAAATAAAAGGTACAGGCTGATATTATAAACATGAAGCTCTCAGTTTGCACAAGGGAGGGCTAATAGAAGCCAGCTTGGCATCTTATTAGATAGTTGAAAAAAATATCGATCTTACTAAAAAATTAACAATTTGTATAAACTAGTCCCTTTGATTTGTTCTACATGTCATTGTCATAAGAATGCTTTCATAAATTCAAATTTTGCTGAATTTTCCAAGGAAGAGTTGGTAATTCTAAAGTATTTTATCAATGTCTGATTTTCCATCTAGCAAAGACTTGCAGTGTCTTATTGTTTTCACTGGAAAGCAGTCAACAAGGAAAAGGAAATGGAAAAACAAGACAGAAACCACTAACCTCAACACATCTTCTGAGAGCAAAATCCAATCCCCATCCATGCACCAAATCATTCTACAAGAACATGATTTGTTAAGCATTTTGGTAGTTTCAAAAAAGGAAGGAGGAGACAGAGGAATTGCATTAAGTTATTAAGTACATTTCTAGCAAAAAATGTTGTATGCTCCTGATCTGTGTCTCCATTCTCCTCTCATCATCACAGAAGTTGAGAATGGAGGGAACTCATCAAACAGTTCTCTTTCTATTTAAGTTTATTTCTTTATTTATCTATTTTTAGGTTTGGAGGAAGTGAACCTCCGATGTGCAACTTACCATCAAGGGCTTGTTGTTGACAATTAGGATACCCATCAAATTTTGCGGAAATATTAACTTGCATTTGTTTTGTGAAGCAAGGAAGCAGATAGGGTGTGCAACCTAACTAGTCAGTTAATCTGGTAGTACGTAAATATTCTAAATAATGTGGCCAAAGTCCACAAAATCCTTAATCATAATTTACCTGAATCATATACCATACACAACGCCAAGCTTCCCGAGAAAACACTGGTGCCATAATTTCCACAAAACTGAAAGAAAGCAAGCAATTTTAAATGCACTGAGAGAAAAAGAGGACATCCAGTTGAAGGAATGTTAACAGTGAAGTGCATTACAAACATGCAAATGGGAGGCCAATTATGATTCTCCCAACAGACATAATTCCCATTTTTCAGAATTTGCAAGTCAGTCCAAAATAGTGATGTCTGGGCCTTTCAAGTACGGTCAGTATCAGACTATGTAACTTGTAAAAATTATAATTTACAAGTATAACCACTTTGCTAAAAATTAGCAAGTGAGAGAGAGAGAGCATACGCAGCACATGGAGGCAAATGTGAATCACTACACCAGCCTGGTTTCTCTTCAGTAATTCTGTGAACCAAGTAGAAATGCAGAACTTCAGAGAAAAAACACATGATTTTTTTTTTTTAGTATAGTAATTGCCCCTTCATATGCCACAAAAGAGAGACAGAGCCTACTTGTGAACTTCTCGGTCACCTCTCCTCTTTGTCATCTGCCATGTCAGTCCATTATTGGGCTCCAAACCTGGTTGCGAGATCTCCAAACCATGTTTCTTGACCAGTTCTATGTATCTGGTAACTTGAAAAAGGAAAATTAGAAAGAAACACACGTTGAAATTAAGTGAAAATATAACTGGTTGAATAGACAAACCTCTCCCCGTTGAAATGTTCCACTCCCAGATCTTCGTCCCAGATGAAAATATATTCATAAGAAGCAACGATGTCTGGATGCAAAAACCTTTTTGCATACCACCTAAAATATATATACAAGCAGGAATGTAAGAACTGGCAGCAAAATTATCATCCATTTGAATGACAAGAAGTCTAAGCTAATCTAACAAGGCAACGAGCGAAACTCATAGATAGAAGAAATATGCAAAGGCTTATTCTATCTTTAAAAACTCCCCAATACTAAAAGGATCTGAAAAGATAGAAATTTTAAACCATTCAGAACACTATTAAACTTACCATTTTGTTTGCTTCCTCACACTAACATGGATTGCATTCTTTGACCACTCAAATTGGTCCCATTCGGTTGTATGGCCATCATAATGAAAAAGCAAAATTTGGAAATCCGCAGAAAACTACCTCAACATGTAAGAATACAGAAGTGTCAGAAACCCTGGAAATCAAAATTGGAAAAAAACTGAAAAGCAACGATGGAATGGTCCCATTGTCTAACCTTTTTAACACATGCATCAATATTATTCCTCTGAGCAATACCAACTGTAAATGTTACTAAATACTTTGGTTTCTTCTTCAGATCCTGCAGATTTAAGGAAAATCATAATAACCAAGTTATCAAGACACATGGGGGTACATTTAACATGTGCCAGGTGTATGTGTCAAAGCTGACAATGATAGTGATGTAGTGTCAAAATGGCCCTCATGCACCAGAACTTTTCTAGGGGAAACAACTTTATAAGCTGCTTGCACCGTTCTAGTCAGCAAAGATGTTGAATAATAAAGAAAGTTCCAGCCTATAGCCATTTGCTAAGGTGGTATAATTAAAGCACCAACATTATGATGTTTCTATATTAATAGTACTTCATGTATCATACCTCACTAGGTTCACCCCATAATCTGCGCAGGTAAAGGTCAGATTCTGGAACAACAATTCCTGGAGGTAGTAATTCTGCACCACGAGGATTTGTTGGAACGTATATCTGGGAAAACACACGAGCAGAGAACAATTAACAAACTGGATAAAAAACAAGCAGCACCCTGTAATTGTGAACAAAGAGCATGACTTCACATATACATCAGGTTAAGCTGATCTAAGACAAAGTAAAATGGCTCAAAAAGATAGTAGCAAACAAAACTCTTTACTGTTGCCCTGAGAATTTGAAAATAAATAATCTGAAAAATACCAATTATATGTCTTCCCCCTTACAAATAACAAAAGATTACAAGGCAAAGGGATGGAGTGTAAACACCACAGGCACCTTAGGAACATTGCCCCCGGTAGTTTCAGGAGATCTGTCTCTGGGGAAATCATTGTCATCAGGAAGGGGTACGTCAAGAGATGATACCAAGCTTGAAGGTAAGTGAATCTGCAGGGATTGAAAACAAATCATTTGAATGATATATCTTTCTCTTTTTGGCCAAAATATGGATAATGGATCTATTGCAGCACAGCTAGATATTAATGAAGGCCAACATACCTTATTAAGGGAAGCATATGGAAATGATACACCAATAAAAAATCCAAAAACGACTCCAAGAATTGTTATGATAATGACCCTGGCACTATCATTTGTTTTCTTAAAAACTCCACTGCAAAGCATTAAAATAGTTTAGTAAAAGGGACCCTGAATATTTGTTATCATCCCAAGAAAGTTTGGCAATTCAAGACACATAAGCAAGCTATAAGATTAAAAACCGTTATTTACCCATTACTTTCTAAAAGTGACATATAATAATTAATAAGTGAACAACAAATGCTAACCTGCGGTGCATGGTGCCCATCTCAGTATACTCTCTTTGCACTTGATTTAAAAGGTTAGGTGACCACAAGAACAGATATCTCCCATAAGCACCTTCAGGGGCAAATGGGGCATTCTTCAAGTTCGCCAAAGCAATGCAACTCTAATCTTCAATATATTACAAAACGTATCAAATACCAACAAAAGATCTCCAACGCTATATATTTCAAAAGAGTGCTTCGGATTAGAGGAATATAATAAATTCACAACATTTAAGGTGGCAAGAAACGAAAGCTAGAACAGAAATGACAAGTATCATTTGTTTCTTAAGATAATGCAATTGAAATCAAATACAAAAACTTAACACACTATACAAGCAAGATACCATATTAGTTATTGCTTCAACTCAGCTGATGATTAAAAATTTCGAACTTTTAAAACCATTGGCATAGTTCAAGCATGTTTTGACCATCCTTTACTTTTAGAAAGCAATACACTCTAAAAATTCAACTACAGATGTATGCCAAAACTATTAACACTCTTACAAATAAAAAACTGCCATAAATTATGCTATTTATACTGTTTTCTCTCTGCAGAACCACTCCTTTATGCTTCCACTTTTCGGTTCATTCCCATTTTACCATCCTTGATCCACCCCATGCTTTTCCAAAACCCAAAATGCAAATCACTTCAAAATAATAAAAAACCGCCAAATTATGCAGTGAACAGAAATATCCAATTAATCAATTTGCATCTAAAAAGATAACATCTTTACTCTCTGTTAAAAGAAACAGTTGAGCCACTCCATTCAAATTCTTGATCTGAATACTAAACAAGAAATCTTCCTCATCACATTTAGCAAAAACCCAGAATGTTTAAACACATACAAAAGTTTCAACTTTAGGGGCAAAAATACTTCATTTTCTAAAGAACGAAAACTTTACATTCCAAGATCAAAGCCAAGAAGAAGAAGAAAGAAAACCCAAGAAAAAAAAAAGACTAACTTTATAAAAATTTGCCATCAAGAGATCATTTTTATAGAAAAATAACTAAAACCCAACAACAAAAAATATACATATTTCAACACGGAAATGCTAGGGTTGGAGAAACTTACGTGGTTGATTAGTTGATCTTGTGTCACAGAGAGAGAGAGAAACAGAGAGAAAAAAGGAGAGCCTTTTTCTCAATTTTAAAGGGAGATACAGAGAGAGAGAGAGAGAGAGAGACAATGAGAGCAGAAACTTACACCCGGTTTGTGTTGCGCTTGGGCTTTCAGGGGACTAAAATTAAAAAATTTTAAATTACTAATTATTTAATTAAAATTAAAATTATCATTATTATAAATACCATATATCTAATAAGAGTTTGTACTTTAAGCAGAATTAACAAATACTTATAAATAAAAACAATCACCTTTTCTAATAATTAAATATTTAAAAAAAATGTAAAAGGGATCAAAGATTATGTATACGCATATGTGTATGCATATAAATAGATTATATTACCTCATTTAATTTAAATCTTTTACAACAATCATCTTAATTTATCAAGTTATTTATTACAAAATTATGAATAAATACGTCTCAAATTAAGAATTTCAGATTATTTAAAATATCATGGTTGGTCAAACATCTTTTTGAAATGCAATAAATTTTATAAATGAATTATCAAAAGTAGTAGTTGGCTTGTCAATATGATAACATTTTATCTTTATCTTTTATTGCTAATATTTATTTGGAAAAAATTTTAATTTTGGAAATAAATTAAAACTAAATTATATTATCTAAAATCATAACAAATTGGTAATCCAGAAAAAATAGATTTTGTCGTCAAGTAGTAGAGTATTAACCAAATATAACCTTATCCTTTTAAGAAATTTTGATGGCAAAAGAAGAATTTACAGGATATTTTCAATAATAATAATAGAATAAAAAGAAAGTTTTTTTAATAATTATGATTTTTCAAATAATTATGTTGAAAATAAATCGATGTATTTATTGAAAAATAGACAATTTTGTCAATTTGAAACACATAATTGTAATTATTTTTTACTCATTTTTAATGTTTTTTGAATTGTTATGTTAGTGAGGGTTAGTGAATTGATTTCGTCGATATAAAATACAATCAATTATTAAATTTTATTGTATATTTGAAGTTTATCCATTATAAATGAAAATAAATAAAATTAAAAAAAATTATATAGATACATGCTTTGAAACCATTACTTAATATTTTTTATTTTTCGACTGCATTTTTAAGTAATATTATCTTAATACAATTTTACACTGTTTACATTAACAGTGAAAGATGAAAATTCCAAATTCTATATAAGAACTTTGGTGTCCATCCAATGCAAGGTTTGCTTGAACTTCACGCAATATTTGCTTGCCTCACCGCCAACCACTTTAATACGTTTAAGTGCCACTGCCATATCAGGAAAGTTACACTTCTTTGGGATTTTTAGGTGATCAATCAAATGTCATCAAGAGATTTGAACAAATAAATATATATATATATATATGTAGTTCTTAAATTTTAAGATGCATATTTAATTTAATTATATACTTAATTTTAGAAAAGAGAGATTTTTTTAATTATTATTTTAATACTTTTAACAGTGATAGACTTTATAAAAAAATTTTATGTATGAAGACAAATAAACAGTGTTAGATTCTATGAAAGGTACCTAATAGAATCTATCACAGATAAAGAGCAGAGAGAGAGAGAGTAATGCTGGATTAATTTAATGTTTTTGTTTATGGAGACAATTACAATTTACAGCAGAGCCACTTTTGGCTTTCATTGGGTAACATCAATTCTTTTCCCCATTAATCCTGCTTCCCAGTTCCAATAATTGGTATATCAATCAAGGAAGAAACAATGTTAAACCTTTGTTTCTCACTGTTTCTTCCCCTCCTTTTTTTTTTTTTATGGTTCCATTGATTCAGGTATAAATAAAAAAAGTAGCAAAAATAGTACATTGGTGAATTATGAAAGAAATAAAGAATAACCAATAGCAAAAGGGATTCAATCAAAGGAATTTTGAGCATTGCTGTGGCAGGCCTGTGACATGATTAACCGTCACGATCTCTGTAGCATTATCGCATCGTAGTACATCTTGACCCAGCTTGGCTCCTGCTGCCTTGAGCCCCTTGAGGGAAACAGGTTGGTTGAACAGGTTGAGTGATGGCAGCTTTGAGGCTGGCGGCATCTTCCCTTTAGGCAACAGGGGTCTAAAATCTTCCTTAAGCAATGGGACTTCAAAGTCTGCTTTGTCATGCCTAACGGCATTGTCCTTGGCACTGATGTGGGCCCCTGGTTCCATATGGTTAGTTGAGAAGCTAGCTTGGTTTGGGAAGTTGGGATAGAGGCTAACATAGCCTCTGAGGTACATCATGTCGATGAGGAACTTCTTCCATGAAGCTTGCCAACCATTTGTTCTAGACTTTGGGATTTGAACTGGGTTTGCTTTCGCATCTTCAGTGAACCTCATGTTCATGTACACGTAGAACTCTCTCCAATGCTTGGGGAAGAACAGTGCACCCCAACTGCAAGGTAGCTGGTGAAGGTAAGGTGTGTTGGGGTGAATGCGCTTGAAGAACTCAGTTGGGTTCCATTTTGGCCTTTCCTTCACAACTTCAACCAGTCGAGGAGTGTAAAGAGAGATGGATGAGAGCTCAGGAAGGGAGATCTGAGGATCATAATGGTAGGCTAAGAGAGCATATTTAATCCATAGATAGTAGTAAGGAGAGACTTCGATATCATCCTCGAGTAGTAGGCCATAGTCATCATCTGACGTTGGGTACCAACTCTCACTTACTGCTCGAATCAGCCCCCCTTGAATGATTCTCCTTCTGAGTGTTTTAGGACCATGAGGCCACTCAACTGAATCTACAAGTTTGATGGTTGCCTCATCCACTTTGCTGTCCATATTGAAGCTTATAGGAATCTCATCTCCAACATAGTATGCATCACTGAGAGATTGAAGCAGCCTTGTTAAGGAAGGAGCACGGTTTTGGGTGATTATGTTGACAGAGATCCTCATCCGGTTCCAATCTGCAATTGACAATTGACCACTTAGATGATTGCGCATCAGATAAATAGGGGTGGGAAGGTGGAAAAATATGAATGAAGCAGAGATCAGTGAACTAGATTTTTAGTTAAATGCACCAATTTGTTCATCAAGAATCTTTAAAGATCATTTGCAAAGATACCATGTTCTCCTTGCCACCTACTTTTGGTATCTGCTGAATCCCAAAAGCTCCACTCCAAACCTATGCCTATTGGGTAAATTTTCTATACAAGTATAGTTTATTGTTTGAGGTATTAGGAATCCTTTTTGTGGAAGTGTATGCACCTATCGACTCACTAAACATACTTGACAGCCTGAAAGGCTCGAACTATCGAAATTTATCAGAACCAAGCAAGATCACTGCTTCTTTTTAGTCATTTAGATTGTTTATTTCTAGGTATTCAGTTATTATATATGGATATAGCTCTGAAGGAGAAAGGTTGGCAGTCTTACTTGGCAATGCTGTTGACCTTAGATCAGCCATCCATAGAACCTTTGAGACAGATGACCTTGGTAGAAGTACCAGTGCAGTACCATTTGCATTCGTCTCGGATGCCAACTTCAAAGCTTTCTTCACATTGGGGTCAATGTCTGTCACAGTGATCACCACACTGGGGTTGTGAATTTTGATCAACCCTTTCATGCTAGAGTACACTGCCTGCAGAACAGGGACCTCAGACTTTGATGCTCCCGCAAGTGCCCCAATTTGCAAATCGAAAATCTTAAATCTTCGCTCTTTACAAACCAACTTTGGCCAGTTCAAAGCTGCTGCAGCATCTTCACATGGGCAGAAACCGCCTCCGGACACTACAATATAAGCCTTCTTGCCAACAGTAGACCTGAACTTTTCAAGCAGTGGTGCAAGTGCTTTGACCTCATCAACAGAGTGAGCATAAAAGAGGGCATCAATCTTTTGAGGATACATTGCAGCCCACTGAGTTATATAACCGGTAGTCAGTGCCCTCCACCACTGATCATCTCTGACTTGAACTATGTCCTTGAAGATTACAGTGGTTTCAGACACATAAGCAAGCCTGTGTTCACTGTCTCCCCAAGTTTCTTTGTCAGTTGGGTCAACTGGAAGAACAAATGAGCCAGCATTTCTGTACTTCTGAAGCTGATAGCTGCACAAGTTTGCAAAAAAAATTATAACCATCAGAACCCTGAAAACTACTAGAAGTTTAGAACAGGAAAGATTATCCAATCTGTATACCAGTCTTTGGAATGCCATAAGAAACTTGAGCTACACCTTGATCAAATCAGCAGTAGCACTTGGCAACTATAATTAGCTCTGATTTAAAATATGATTTTCATTATTCTCATCACCACGACCGTCATTCTAGTTCTTCTACTGCTGTTACTATTATTCGTTATCAACTTAGAAGTGCCAAAGGATTGTGATTTTGGAATTCCAAGATGACATATTTATTCTGAAAAGGGCTACCTAGGGACCAACCTAACACTCAATAATATTGAGATAGTGCTGCAGAGAATCTTTAAAGTGAGTGCCATTTCCTACCAAGTTTCACTTCCTCAAGGAAATTCAACATGTATAATGTGCAGTAAATAATTTAGAACAGACAAAACCAGTGATGCAGAACCATTAGTAATGGAAACAGGATACAGGGTATCCATCCTTAACTGGAACTAGTATATAAAAAAATCCATCATTTCCCTCTAAGGGATTACAATATTCAGAAAAGCTGACAAAATTAGTACTAATAAATTGCAGCAAGAGTTAAGAATATTCTTTCATAGAAAAACAGAATTAAGGAGAGAATTAGTACTTCAAATTCTTTCTGAGTCAACTCTCAATACCATCAATATTTAGATCAGGTTAGTTGCATGGTCAACTTTCTGTTGCATTGAACCTGTACTCTTAACATAATTCATCAAATATGTGGGGATCTCTCTGCTCTAATCACTTTCCTCAAGATAAAATTAAATCCTATATACTTAGCAATGATACCTATTGGTCTTCATCACAACTGATTTAGAATAATGAAGAGGTTGTTTCTATAATATTGAACAGGTGACCAAACCAAGAAAAGATGCTTTGACATGGTGACATAGGTGGAAGCGCGAAAATGAGTAGGACCAATGTCTATATGCACAAAAACAAGATCATAATATGCAGAAAACAATGAGAATCTGAGAGGGTTTCTGTCACTGTAAACGTACCTAAGGTGCAGATCTTCACCAGTCATGAATGTGAAAGGTGTCTCAATGAAAAGTGCCTTCACAAGCTCTGCAGATAAGAACCATGAGCTGGAAAGAAAATCCACCTGCACAATTTTGTCAACAGTAATATCATAGGCAGGGTCAGGCAAGTAAAGCCCTGCCTCCTTGGATCGAAATTTCCTATAGCTTGGGAATGTGAAATCCTTCTGTCTGGAAGGCAAGATCCTTCCTATGCTGCCCAAAACAGAGTTTTTATACTTTTCTGTTCCTGCCACATGAGATAAAATCTGTAGCATTTTCTTCCCAGGAATCATGTCATCATCAAGGATATAAACCAGATCAGCTTCTGTTTGTAAAGCCATTTGGAACCTGCCATAGTACTTGAAATCATAGCTTGAACTAATGAAGCTGATCCTTGAATCATTGTAGCTCTCAACAATTCTCTTCAGAGAGAGCTCATTTGGACTTCCAAATGAAAGCACCCAAACATGATGGACTGGGAGCGTCTGTTGGAGCAATGAATCAAGCTGGGCACATAGTGTTTTTCTCTTGAAATGGTTCAAGAGCACTGTCACTTTTGGTCTGTTTGGACCACGCATATCCCACTTGGATTTCATTGCCATTAGCTCAGCCAGAGTTTCTGTTCCAATGGTCTTGCTTTGAAAATCCAGTACCTCATCATACAACTCTCTCTTCAACTTGATCATCTGAACATCATTGGACTTCTTCTGCATGAAATCAATCTTCTCATGCTCACAAACTTTGGATGGGGTAATTGGAGGGACTTCAGCTCTGATGAGGGAAGCAGCTTCTTGGTAGCGTCCAAGAACATGTGGTGGGATGACGAACTGTTTCATGTTCCTCGCAATCCTTGTAGCCCAAGTAAAGTCTGGTTTGGTTCTTAAATCCACTGCTGGACTCATGTAATACAAAAGGAATGTTGCATACACTGCAAAGGCAAATTGCAGGCAGGTGAGAGCTGTCACAAGCCGAGTAGAGGCATTCCTAGGAGCCTTGACCTTAGCCTTTCCTCCAACATAATCACTGAGCATTCCTTCCAAGTAATCCCCACTTCTGATATTTGGACCCCGGACAAATCCCATTTCATAGATTTCAGTTTATCCCTACAAAAACAATCACAGAAGGAAAATATATTCAACCCCAAAATGCTTTGAAAGAATCCAAGTTTGAAGAGCGCAATGAAAGAGACAAAAGTGGGGGGGTGTTAGAAGAAGCTGGTGACGACTGCCAATGGATCCTCTGCCATTGTATATATATATAAATGGAAAGTTACTGAAAAGTGAAGGTGAAGCACCCCATGAGAAATGCAGCAAAGGGGTCACATGGGCTAAACGTTTACATTAATAAAGCTAAATTAACAAATTATATTTTGTTGTATATGCGCGTTACGTTCACCACTTCTCTTCCCTTATACATTTCCATTGAACTGCCTTGTACCACCCTTAAGACACTCACCTAGAAAAAGCCGGTTTTCATGGCGTAGAAAAGGGCTATCCCTGCGTTTTTGGCACTGCCCACATAATCCCATATGCTTTGTTTTCTTCTCTCTCTCTCTCCCTCAAAGCTTTTAACACTGAAATTTAGATCTTCCAGAACAATTCCCACCCCCATAGGGATTGAATAAAAGTACAAAAAAGGAATATATTTTAGAGTTTTATTTGTCAAACTCAGTTCCCTAGATCAGGATTACCTGTCCAATGGAGTTTGATACAAGTAAATTTATTAAGAACCAAAATATATATGAATAAAGAAGACAAAACACAGAAGTCATGACAGTACCTTGGTCATAAAGGAAACGAACCCAGAGTGACATTAACTACAAGGAAGAGCCCGCCTTTACCTTCTTCAGCAAATGAAGCAAAGAAAATAAACCTTTCATTCAAACGAAACAAATGTTGCCAATGGCTAGAAAGACTCCGCGTAGAGTAGAGTTGTCGACGAGGGAGGTAAATTAGGCAAAAGAAGGAAAGATTGAGTATATAAGAGAAATTAACGAGGAGGAAAACGAAAATAACTTGAATATAAATATATGTAGCATTGGCTGGGTTTGACTTTGCATGTAGATTCGTAAATGAACATTGCAGCCAGCTCTCTCTCTCTTCTCTCTTTGTTAATGGATTTTTGCCTACCTTTGCGCAAGTTGAGTTAATGCAAGAAAACCCATCACTGGACTTGCTTCTACAAAGGACAAACATTCAACTAAAGACATTTGAACGCTTGTTTTCTTCTCTTAATTTTAACAGGTGAGATGCCATTATAATCTGAAGGAGAAAAATGCCATTTGATTCAATCAGGGTTTGTCTGTGTGTTGATTACGAACATCAACTGGGACTTCAAGAGTTTATTTATGTTAGATATATGACAAAGAATCTTAACTGCCATGCTTCCATTGAAGAGCTTCCAATTAACTACAAATTAGTTCTGCTGATTTCATTTCTTTTATACTATTTTTTCTTTGAACACAACATATACTCCTCGTGTAATTATGAAATCCTTTTACTAGTAAATATTTCATTCGAGGAATTCATGTTTTGATTCCATGCTTTCAATGTACGAATTTCGAGATATGAAATGTACTTGCTAAAGGGTACTCCTTTCCTTTTCAATACATTGAATCTATACTATGGAAATCTCAAGAGTACTATTAGGATTATACTTTAAGGACTAATTTCATGATAAATATCTTTACCAATGTGCTCAAAATCTCATGTTGCAATTGTAGTCACATGATGATGACATGAACCCTTTCAACCTACATATGGCATTATCATTCGGGATATGTATTTTTAAAGCTTTATGTCAAGTTCAAGTATTGGCAATGGAACCTTCCACAGCTTCTTTGATGGATAATCACATGATTGTTTATGTATTAGAAGAAAATTTTCTTTTAAATTTTAAGTAAATATCGATAATCTAAACTTCAATTTTTTTTAAAAAAACATGACGTTAATTATTATCAAATTTTACTTTCGAAAGTCTTAATTATTTAATCATTAAATTTTCATCATATGTTGAATGAATGTCAACACACCTCTTCTTCCATCCCCCAAGCCATGATTAGGGCAATTACCGTCTTAATCCATGCAACAAACCCACACATGCAAAAGTTTATAACTCACACGTGGAAATGGCAAAGAGCATGGATCATAATTAGTCGAGAAAAATCATTAAACCATTGATTGAGCAAATTTTTCTCCCTCTCCCAAGGTCAAAACCCTACAAACCCCCTCAAGTAAAGTCAACCTTGAGCAACCCCTTTTTGCAAGATCAATTGCACTAAGACAAATTTTGACTGATCAGGCACCAGATGGCCAACTTTGACAGGCAGAAAAATAAACAAATAAAGTTGCATTTACACATATCTAAGTGGAAAGCCACATAAGCAAAGATCTATGCAAAATTTTTTGGGTGCTAAATAGTTTTATATTGCCTAACAAAAATAGGAATACATATATATATATATATATATATATATATATATATATAATCTCTCTTCTTCAGTCTCCATGTGCAGCTCCTCTTCCATTATTCTATTACAAGGTTTGAAGATTCTTGGTCTTAATTACTGTGTTTATGAACATTTATAAGTGGAATGGTGCCTAAATAGATTGCTTCGAGGCAGCTCACATGGTTTCTAGCCTCCTTATCAGGAGAAATTGTCAAATTTTTTCCTTTTTTAATATTGACTTTGGGTTTTCTTTGTTTGTTTTGATTCAAATAGAGTTACGGGTTTCATGTGAGTCATCTTAGGAAATTAATGAGATTTATATGGTGATATTCAAATTAGGAAAAAATTATAAAAGAAATGAATGGTTATTTGATTTTTATTTTGGTACGAATTTGACTTTAATGTGAGTTTTCGGGTATTATGTGTTTAATTCAAACCATTTAAGGTGAAAATTCAATATCAATTGGAACCCTCAACAACAAGAGCAAGGATGGAAGAACACATTTTTATCGATAATTCAAATCTCGTCGCATATGGGTTTAATTAGTCTAATTTGATATTGATTTGTGTGATTGATTGATTTGTTTATTTGTTTTTTTATAAATATAATATGTTATTTATATTTGTATATAATTATTGAATTGTAATTATAAATTTTATGTAACCTTGTAAAAAAAATTAAAAAATGACATTGATTTGCTATTAGAAGACCATTTGCAATTACTAATTGTGGACATCTAGGATATATATATATATATATTCATATAAATCATCATAAATAAATAAAGATTAAGACCAAGAAATCACCTGGAATATTATAAATAAAATAATTCATTGGAAAAGGAGTTTACTGATATATGTAAAACATTTTTTAGTGTTCTTTATTGCTTAAATTAAATTCTTGATGGATAAAGTTCAGTCACCCCTCATCATTGTTACTGTTATTTATTTACTTATTATTTCAGCATGGAATCTGACTGGAAGAGTGAAACTTTCTTCCTCTTTATTTATTCTAGTTTAGTGCCTAATTGCAATTAAATTATTGGAAAAAATATTGACCATAATGCATGTGAAATTGCACAAGGAAAAGCATATGACCTAAAATGATTTTGATGAGTAATGATTAAGAAGATTTGAGACTTTCAAGTGATTTTTCATTTGTTTTATTTTTAGAAGAAAATTTAATATAATTTCACAAGTTAATTTTGTTGTCGTAAATTTCATCTTTCGTTTTTAAAAATTGATCGTATAAATGTATTTTCATTTTTTATCATAAAAGTTCGAGTGTGTGTTCATTTTAAAAATTAAAACGCTTTGATTAAAGCATACTCAATGTGCGTGTTTGCCTTGCGACAAGAGTAGTAAAGAGTCATGGTTGAATCCAAATTTTAGGGAAGAGAAATTTTAAGGTCCTTGACATCTTGTGTCACATACTAATCAGCTAATCTTCATAAATCAAGGGTTATTACAGCTGTTATGAAGAGGCACATGGCTTCCAAGGGACCATTCAAGCCTATATACATTGGTGATTATTGGTCAGTTGTTGCTTAATTTAATCAATCATTTCATAATTAAGAAGTTATAGGATCAATAGGTCTAGATCTTTTTAGCTATCTTACTTGAGGATTGTGCAAAGAAAACAGTGAAAATGGAATGGAAAACCCTTAACCCTGGAAAATTTAACCAAATATAACAAGCAATTGAACAACACAAGTCCAACCATGGAAACAAATTTTCTTTTTTCATTTCATCAGGAACTTTGCCACAAAGTTGAAGCATTACAGAATCAAAGTTCAACTTCAAATGAAAACAAAATGTCAAGCTTCAAATGATGAGTTAATGGGGTCTTTTTGTTCTTTTGTTTTTTTGTTTTTGGAGGGGGTAGTAGTTTACATCAGAAAATGAGTAAAAAAGAAAAAAAAGAAAAATTCCCATTTCAGGAACATCTTGATTTCCTAAAATTAGTTCCCTGGAATCTGCATTTTGTTGCCTTGGCAATGTCTCAGTCTCTCTCACCTAGTGATTTCACATTTTGCAGGGTACCCTAACTGTTCCGTCTCCCAACTTAGCTTTGAAGCAACTCTTTCGTGCTGAGGTTCATACTCCTGATACAAAGATATCAGATATCAGACTTCATGCAGGTAAAGGGTTTAGTTCTGGCAGAGCATGCACCAAAAACAAAGTGAGGGTTTCAAAGATTTGAAGAGAAAAACTTGTAAACCTCCATCTTTTTGACCAACTCTTTAGCAGTGGGAGCAGAGACTATGATATGGCGGGCGTTGGGACAAATGAAACCTTCCTCCACTGCTTTGTCAATGAATGACAACAAGGAATTGTAGTATCCATCCACATTCAACAATCCCACCTGCAATAAATATATAAAGATTTCAACAAAATCCCAATTCATTGTTTGTTTAGGAAATCGGGGAATAGGCAAGGAATCTTACTGGTTTATCATGGATTCCAAGTTGGGCCCAGGTTATGACTTCAAGAAGTTCTTCAAGAGTTCCATAGCCACCTTCATGAATATCATTTAGAATTTCATTTAATTAAATATACTAATTAAGAGCTTTTTTATGAAAAAAAATTTACAAAAATGATAATAATCTATGTAAATTAACGGCTTTTTTGTGTTATAAAATTATTTCATAGTAATATACTTGTAAGTATAACCCCAATAAAGTCAATTGGTTTTTATTTTAATTTAATCATCAGTTAATTATACTAAGTTTGTTTATAACCCAATAGATTATTTATTAATTTTAAACATAAAAAATTAAATAATTTATTTTACACATCATGCAAAAGCCCAATCTTGAGCCCATTGATTTAATCCCTGCCTCTATGTTATGGGTCAATTAGCCCAGTTAAAATTTGGCAACCTCAGACCCAAAACATTTGCAGGTTTGGGTGAATGATAAAGTGAGCCCTTTTACCCACAGATGTGGTCCAGGAAAAGGCCCCCCAGCCTCAGGGTCCCCATTGACAAATTGATCAACAGCAGAAGCTCTCAAACAAAGAATGTTTAAAGGGTATGTTGCAGGAGCCTATTTATATAATCTGGCAAGGTAGAAACCACAGGCTGGGGGATACTGGCGTGGAGTGGATAATGCATTCTCACCACAGAAAGTTTTTGGTTTCAAGGCTCTTCTTCTCACCAGTCACCAGGAAGCCTAATTTTCAGTGTCAGGAGCTGATGACGGTGGAGTCAGATTGGGCCTTGAAGGGTAACTCTCTAAATCATGGGCATTTTTCTGGAGCTGATAACAGTCCAAACTCTGGCAGTTCGAGCTGGAAAAAGAGTTGCTATCAGTCTTCTATTCTATGCCTATGCCATACATAGCCACAGGTACCCCTTAAAACAGTCAACCTAAAACAACAGTTTGCTAAATTCTGAGGCTAAACCTACAAGTGTTTCCCCTCATTCTGGAACTGTTCCAGTCCTGAAATTAATGTTCACCAAACCAACAGTTAGACTAGAGCAATGTCCCGTGAAACGCTTCCACATAGCTTTCTATATAT